CTGCCTTATCTGTCTCCTCCCACAGTCACCCCTACACACACCCTCCCCACTGGATATGGAGCCCCCTGCTAGAAGCCAAGTGTCAAGGAGGGAGGGGAGGAGAGAGGAGGGGAGAGGAGGCTGCTCCGTACTAAGGGGGTAGGTGGCCTCCACAGAGCCTCAGGCCAGGAGTAGAAAAGGAGTATAAAGAGGGGTGGGTTAGAGGAAGGCCAGTGTCAGGGGGGTAAGTCAAGTGCCCCACACTGGTGCCCTGGGACAGCCACCCCTCCAGAGGCCCTTCCCAGCCCTTCCCCAGGAGCAGCAACCACAGCAGGGTCTGCTTTACTGACCACGCAGCCACGACCCTGCCCTGAATCTCCCAAAGGTTGCTGCTGGGGCCCCCTGACCCCACAGGGCCAAGCCCTGTTTTTCTGATGAAGCTGAGGTCCAGCAGTGCCTGCTTCAGAGAGAGCAGGCAAAAGGGACTAATCCCACCAGGCCTCATTAAAGTTCCGGAGAAGAGGTGAAGTGTGACCGCCAAGCCCCTCTGTCCCACAGGGACCCCAACCTCACTGCCGTGACCAGTTCTAAATTGCAAGAAGCCTGGTCCAGCCTTGGAGCTGGGGCATCATGGGGTGATGTCGGGCAGGGCACACACCCAGCATGGCCCCAAGCAGCCACCCTCCCTGCCGTCCAAGCACCTGGCCCAACCACACCCAGCAGCAAATGCTTCTTGTTAAATGATCAGAGTTGCCTGGGCAGCATCCTGCGTGGCTGGCTGCATCTCAGAACCGTGCAGAAGACACACCAGCTCCCCCAAGATCCTACTGCTCGGCCATCACAGAGCAGCGAGTGGGCGGGGGTCTCCTTACAAACTGCCCCAGGCCCCCCAGACTTCCCAACCACCGGCTGGGCAGACAGGAAGCGACAGCATCACATCCCCCCTCTGCCCGCCTTCAGTGTCCACCTGGGAAGAAGCCCCTAACAGCTCCCACAGAAGCCACTTCAAAGCAGCGGAAGCGGCTGCAAGTATCCCGTTTCACCCAGAGAGCCGGCTTGTGTTCTGGCGCCAAAGAGGCCTTTAAACTCCTGTTCAATGAAGACACTTGGAAAGAGCAGGAACCCAAGGGAAGCAGGGCGCATGCCTCCCGCCTCTCAAAGGAAGAGCTTTTCCTACATCCGCACACTTTTCTCAACTGGAATTCTGCCACCCATCCCCACTCAGGGACCCTTTCCCATAGGACAACTCAGGCACCATGGTCTGGTTCTCAGCATGATTCTCACACCTGGTGTGGGGCTCACACCCTGCAGGCAGGACCCTGGGATGGCCCATCCTCAACTCCAAAGACAATGACAGCCTCCGGCAAGGTGGGCAGCATTGTGTGGGGACCCCATGATGCTGCTCTTCTAGCTGCTCAGGGTCCCTGCAAGGCACTGTCCTGCTCTGGGCCTGGTGTCCATCTAAAGGACTGTGTGGGGCCCAGGCATCCATGAAGGAAGTGGGACCTTCAGGGCAGCCCTTCTCCCAAGAGCCTCAGAGCCTGCAAAGAGGGGGTGGGGGAGGGGGGGGAAGGCATGAACCCCCTAACACACTGCATGCCTAGGATGATGCCCAGGCAGTCAGCTCCTCTATGTTCCCAGCCCTTCTGTGTCCCTTGGCCTCTCTGCATCCCCATGACCACTGCATCCCCCAGACCTATTGCATCTTCCTGCCCTGTTGCTTCCTCCAGGCCTGCCACCCACATTCTTGCCACGGCCAGGGCCTTGGTGTGTCCCCAGCTGGATACCCCAATGGCACCCCACTCACCATACTGACAGCGGGGACCCTGGAAGCCTTGGGGACAGACGCAAGGCAGGGTAGAGCCTGGCTGGCAGTGGCCACCATTGAAGCAGACTCCAGAGTTGCAGACGGCTGTAAAAGAAAGTGGGGACAGGTGAGGAGGGGCAGAGCAGAGGCCTCCCAAACCACCCCGCCCAGGGAGCAACAAGTGAGGCCACGTGCTTGACACAAAGCCCCTGGGGGGCCTAGTGAAGTTTCCCCATTCAGCTCCTGCTCTGCCCTGAGGTGGGGGTCCCCTGCCAGGCCAGCAGGCCCAGCCAGGATCCAAGTCCAGGACTCTCGGGTGCCGTGGTCAGGAGGACCACCCAGGGCCCACACAGAGAGACACCTGGCCTTCCTAGTGCTTCTTCCTCTTCATAATTGCATGCCAATGTTTGCCAGCTGCTGCCCAGGCTTCCAGGGCCCCCATCCCCTCAGGCCACCCCTGCAGACATCCCTTTAACTGCTCATCCACATCCCAAACTCTGGCCCCACACCCTCCTCCTTCCAGCAAACCCCTGTAGCAGCATAAGGATGTGTCCAAAACAGGACGGGGGTGGCAGCCATGGGTCTAGCAGGCCACAAGGAACCCAGGGGAATGGGTGGAGGCCCCTGCAACCCTCTTCTGCCTGGGGCCCACTTAACAGGGAACATCAGTGCCCAGGCACAGAGGGCCCAAAACCTCTGACATGGGCAAGTTTACAGAGAAAGAAAACCAGTGTTTACTTTTCACCATGACAGCTAGCCCAAACTGCAAAGGCAGGCCACCCCTCCAGGCAGGGAGCAGGTGCCTGGCCAGAGCCTGGCCAGACTCCTCACCTGGGGCCCAATGCCCCTGCCCTGTCACAATTTGGAGTCCAGGCCATTGGAGGGGAAGTGTCAATTTACCCGTTTCCACCCCTCCTCGGAGTCAATGACACCTCCCTCCATCCCGTCCCCCACTCAGGTGTCCTGTCCTGATGCCTGTCTTCACAGTCCTCACATGTCCCTCTTCTTCATCCCACCCTCCGTCCCCTGCCTGACCAGGAAGCATCTGCCTAATCTGTAACAGAGAGGAAAGGAAAATGAGCTCCTACAGAGTCTCACCAAAAGGGCAAGTACTGTGGGTTCTCACTTCTATGAAATAAGTAAAGATACCTCTAGTGGTGTAGTGTTTAAGGCATTTGGCTGCTGACCAAAAGGTTGGTGGTTCAAACCCAACAGCCACTCTGCAGAAGAAAGATAAGGCAGTCTGCTTCTGTAAAGATTTACAGCCTTGGAACCCCAATGGGGGTTTGCTATGAGTCAGAATCAACTGATGACAGTGAGTTTGGTTTTTTGGTATAGAAACCAAAGATTATCAGTGGTTACCAAGGGTGGGAGGGAGGGAAAAGGGGGAGTTTTTTCTTAGGGTGCATTGAGTTTATGTTAATGGTAGTAGAATAATTTGAAAAAGGATAGCAAGAATGAGTATACAACATCAGGAATGTAACCAATGTCATTGAATTACACATGTGGAAATCATTGAATTGGTTCACCAGACACACAAAACAAGTCATACCAAGACCCTGCTCCCCTCTCCTCTCTGGACCTCTGTAGCACCCCTGGCTGTCCCAGCTAAAAACACCTCCTCAAAGACCAGTAGATTGCACCCCCCCTTTCTGGAGAGGAGGGTGACAGACATAGTCAAATCTACTGCACAACTGTGTACACATGCACATGCTTGCATGTGTACATACATGCATACATGAAGACACATGCATACACAGGCAAATGCACACATGGCACATGCATACACATTCACACACAAGTGCACATGCACACACATGCACACCAGGACACAGGACTGGAAGTAGCCACTGCTCTCTCTTTCTACATCCAGCATGGAAGCGAGTAACTGACCACCTCCCTGGGCCAGACATCTTTGCTTTTTAAAATTTAAAGTAGTCTTTGGTAGCAGATTTGCTCAGTGCAAAATATTATTTGATTTCTTGACTGCTGTTTCCATGAGCATTTTTTGTTGATCCAAGTAAAATGAAGTCCTAAAATCCTAAATGTAAGACCGAAGAAGAACTAACACAACTGAATTGTGGTGTTGGTGAAGAATACTGACTATACCATGAACTGCCAGAAGGAACCAATCAGTCTTGGAGGAGTACAGCCAGACTGCCCCTTAGAAGCGAAGATGGCAAGTTTTCATGTTATCAGGCGGGACCAATCACTGGAGAACATCATGCTTGGTAAAGTAGAGAGTCAGCGAAAAAGAGGAAGACCTTCAATGAGATGACTGACACAATGGTTCCAACAACAGGCTCAAACATAGCAACAACTGTGAGGCTGTTGCAGGACTGGGGAGCATTTCACTGTTATACACAGGGTTGCTATGTGTCGGAGGCCACCTAACAGCACCTAACAACTGGGCCACATATGGCTTCAAGCATGTCATCAGGGCAAACCACAGAGCAGCCCATCCACGACTGCTTCAGGACGAGACGATCATCCCTTCTAAGCACATGGCAAATCCTCCTTCCCCATCTCTGTAAATGGAACCACCACCCACCTATTGGCTCAGGTCAGACAACTGGGAGCCATCTTCGTGCATAATACTGCTCAATCCATACCCATAGCCAACCCATGGCTCACCTAATCAGTCTTGCCACCCACGTGTCTTGAACATACCCATTTCTCTCCATCTCCACTACCACCAGCCAAAGCCACCATCACCTCTTGTCCCTGTACACCCTTCCTCTCCCCTCCCCCTCCTGCTCACCCAAATTCCATCCTCTACCCCAACGTCTTTGTGATCTTTTAAAACAATCACGTCACCCCTGGATGAAAGCCCCCAACAGCTGCCTTGACTTAGAACAAAGCTCAACTCTGTGGGCTCCATGGCCTTGCCTCTGAGGCCCTGCCGGGAGATCAGCTTCGTTCCCCATGCCCCACTCTCTCGCCTTCCCCTCTCAAGGCCCAGCACTCAAGGCGCTTTGAGCTTTCTCTACTTGGAGGTCCTGGGTGAGCAAGCTGTTCCTGCCACCCACCAATGCCTGGACAACCTGTCCTACCCTAAACGCCTCTTCCCCAAGGAGCCTTGCTCAGACCCTGGTGCTTGTGGTCCTCGCACTTCCGCACTGTCGTGCCCTCAATCGTAATCAAGTACTTAATTAGGTGATGGCTATCTCCCAGCCTAGGAGTGGTGTAAACAGTTTGTGCACTCAGCTACTAACTGAAAGGTTGGCAGTTCAAATCCACCCAGAGCCACCTCAGAAGAAAGGCCTGGTGATCTATTGCCCCCCCCCCCCAAAAAAAAAAAAAAAAAGACATTGAAAATCCTGTGGAGCACAGTTGTACTGACATCATGAGTCAGAATGGACACAACAGCAACCGGTTTGTCTGTTTTGGGTTTTTTTAAATCTCCCAACCCAAGCTATGGGCTACCTGCAAGTCTGTCCTAGTCATCATTATATTCTTCAGCACCAACACTTTAGAGAAGCTCAATAGACTCTGTTGAATGATTGAATGAATAAACAAATGAACAAACAAGTAACCAGCTGGACAAAGCTGGATGTGAGAGGGGTTATTTGTAGATAAGCTGTAGGGGAAAGGACAGGAGTTCCGTTTTCAAGACAGGTGGCAGCACATGGCATCACATTCATAGAAATGGGGAAAACAAAGTTCAAAACAAAGTTGCACAAGCCTACCCTCCAAACCAACAAAAAAGTGTACCAGGTGGCCCAGCGGATGCTGGAAAGACAGGATGCCAGAGAGGGAGGCCTCAGGCCACGCCTGCTGGGAGTGGACACCTGGGGTAGGCCAGGCATCAGTGAAAACCAACAGGGTATGGGTGGCCACCACAACCTGCCTTCCATGACTCTCTCCCAGAGGATGGGGCAGTAAGAGTGGCAGTGAGTGACACCCACCTCCAGCAGCATGCCCACTCTCCCCCACTGTCACTGAAAACAGCAAACAATGGCATTGTCTCCCACCATCCCTCTTAGTGGATGGCACAGAGAGGCACGGGTTGTCCCCACTGTAAGGACAAGTACCCAACCAAGAACCACCCAGCACTTGAGGAAAGCCAGCACATGCAAGAGACAAAACATTCAGAAAAATGAAGAACTTACCCCTGAAAAAATAGAGTTCATGAGCATCAGAGTGTGGCTTTAGAAGAGGATGCTTGAAAGCCTCTGTGAGAAAAAGGGGGGCCATCACAGAAATGAGAGGTGACAGAAACAAGACCAGGTGGGAAATGTGGGAGTAAAATCTACTCAAACTCAATATCTGGCTGTCAAATGAAATAATGGATGAATGTCTCACAAAACCAAATTTGGGATTTATAAGTAAATTTGTTTTACATACAACCTTAGCTAGTTTAAAGAAAGGGAGTGGGGGGAACACTACCACCAGCTTGCACTGCCCCCAGGATCGAGGCCAATGCCTGAGCAAGGCACAGCTTTGGAGCTCAATGTCAAGTTCCAGTTCTAAAATGTATCAGCAGATAAATCTTTAACCTTTATGAGTCTCAGTTTCTTGCTCCGAAAGATGGTAAAATTTGGGCTAAGCTCCATTACAGATGGTTTCCATATAGCAATGCAGTATTTTCAATAACCTGCATACTGTCAAGTTGAACTCCATTTAGCTCCAAAAGCTGAGGTACACACTCACCCCCACTCCACAGCAGCACCACCTGGCCTCCTCCTGTGAGATTCAAATTGTCCCAGTTTTTCCCAGGACAGGCCTTTGCTGTAGTGAAGTCCAGCAGGTCAGCCCTGTGTTCCTGGAACAAAAGCCTGGGCGGGTCCTTAGGTAGTCCAATCCCAAGGATGCTCCTGGACAGGCCTGGGTGCAGGACAGCAGATCTGGGGAGCGCAGCAAACCTATGCACCACCTGTAACATCATAACACCACTTTCTCTCTTGGTAAAAGATGAGAAATCCCACTTCAGGAAGTGGGAGGTGGGAGGCAGGAGCCGATGCCAGGATGAAAATAACTAGAGAAACCTCTCTGCCAACTCAGGACTACAAGTTCAGACCCAGGCCAGTCTCCCTGGAACTGCCAATTGACAGGAGCCAGCACCCATTCTCCTCCTGTCTTCTGAATGGCCATCTGGAGGAATT